AATTTCAGAAAATACATCAATGTCTGAAATCTGGTCCCTCCTCAGTTTAAGAAGTAACAAGTTCCCACCACCTGCCTGCAAATTTCATGATTTCCTTTTTTTTTTTTTTTAATTGCTGAGCAGTATTTCATTGTGTAAATGTACCACAATTTCTGTATCCATTCCTCAATTGAGGGACATCTGGGTTGTTTCCAGATTCTGCCTATTATGAATAAACTGCTACGAACATGGTTGAGCAAATGTCCTTGTTGTATACTTGAACATATTTTGGATATATGCCTAGGAGTGACATAGCTGGATCTTGTAAGAACTAGAAAAGATCATCCTGAGTGAGGTAACCCAGAAGCAGAAAGACACATATGGAATATACTCACTTATAAGTGGATATTAGACATACAATATAGGCTAATCATACTAAAATCTGTGCACCTAAAGAAGCTAAACAATAAGGAGGACCCTGGGTAAGATGCTCAACCCTCACTCAGAAAGGTAAACGGGACAGACCTCGGAATATGGACAAAATAGGAAACAGGACAGGAACCTACCACAGAAGGCCTCTAAAAAACTCTACCCAGCAGGGTATCAAAGCAGACGCTGAGACTCATAGCCAAACTTTGGGCAGAGTGCAGGGAATCTTACGAAAGAAGAGGGAGATAGACCTGGAGTGCCACAAGGAGAGCAACAGAACCAAAAAATCTGGGCACAGGTATCTTTTCTGAGACTTTTACTCCCAACAAGGACCATGCATGGAGATAACTTAGAAACCCTGCACAGGTGTAGCCGTGGCAGCTCAGTCTCCAGGCGGGTTCCTAGTAAGGGGAACAGGGGCTGTCTCTGACATGAACTCAAGGGCTGGCTCTTTGATCACCTCCCCCTAAGGGGAGGCAGCCTTACCAGGCCACAGAGGAAGGCAATGCAGACAGTCCTGATGAGACCTGATAGGTTAGGGTCAGATGGAAGGGGAAGAGGACCTCCCTTATCAGTGGACTAGGCAAGGGGCATGGGAGAAGAAGAGGGAGGGAGGTTGAGATTGGGAGAGGCTGAGGGAGAGGGCTACAGCTGGGATACAAAGTGAATAAATCGCAATAAATAAAAAAAATTTTAAATAAATAAAAAAAGAAGTAACATGTTAGTCCCAGCCAACCTAGTCTCCAATTAAAAGCATGTCCTATAAAATCTTAGCAATTACATTCTTAGAAGTTTCAGTGCAGAACAAGAGAAGGTAAGAAGATTTGCCAAGCAAACCTCTCACTCAAATTAAAACATTAACGAGGCTTTAGTGATATATTAAATGATTTTACACTGGAACAGTGGGAGGGGAGCAGAATTCTGGTGGTTCCAAAGCACTGACAAACTTAATGCTGACTCTATTTTACTTTTACAGCTGATAAAGACAGGCAGAAATGGTGCCTTAGAGACTAGGCACCATTTCCCAATCTTTCCTTATTGTTTAAAACTTGAAGTAACACTGCTAAATTCTTCCTCAGAAGAGTCTCAAGCAAGCTGAAGCAGAGTGACTAAGGGATGCTGAGCCATGATTAGCAGCTGTTCAGACCACTGGATTCCCCATTCTTTATCTGACGGAAGGACATCCTTCCTGCAGGCACCCTTTCCTTTGCAGCCCTATTCCTTGCCGAATTCCGACTCTTGATGTCTAAGAGAACCAGAACTTTCCCCTACAAGTACGTCTCATGTCTCTTGGCCTATGCTAAGCCCACTCCCTCTGCTGAATTCTGGGATGCATCACTTAGTTAACAAGGCCTTTTCTGCTCTGCCTGAAGGCAGACCCAATCCCACCCACTGGTATGTGTCTTACAGCACAGGATTTCTCCTCTTCACTGAAACCACCATCTACTTATGTGTGTAATTTTTTTAAAAGTCTTTAAAAAATATTTATTTTTTTAAATTTTATGTATATGAGGTATGTGCGTGCAGAGATTATGTGTACCACACGCATGCCTGGTGTGTTGAAGCCCCTGGAACTGGAGCTACAGACAGACAGCTGTGAACTGCCATGTGGGTGCTGGGAATTGAAAACCCAGGTCCTCTAGAGGTGCAGGGTGCTCTGTGCTGCTGGACCATCTCTCCAGCACCTTATGTGTGTAAACAACATTTGGTTACACGGAGGAAACACCTCTTGACATTAACTTCATTTCTGGAACTCTGGCTCATACCGAAGCAGCTGGAGTTCAAGAACACAGACCCGAAACTCGCATACTGACTACTATGTAAATGACAAAGGCATGGTCTGTAACCCTACTAGAGGATTCCGGAGGAGTGTGACTTTTTCCACTAAAATTCTGTCATCTCATGATACTCATTCTGAGTTCATGACTATTGTCTATGAAAAACTACAGTACCTAACATCTTTGCAGAAGACCAGTGTGAGAGGAATATCACTGGTCATGCAATTTTCGATTCCCATTGGCTCATTTGGTCAAGTTACATTCAAGGTGTCTCATTAACTGTAATAATTAAGTTTCATAGATATGATAAAGTTAACTTGTAAACAAAAAATAAGTTGTTGACCTAGCAGAACTTGGTCTGGGTGCTAATTCTACATTTCAGTTGCACTATCCCCAGAGACTAATATCTTAGCAAAAATTATTCTTCATTTGCCTGTTAAATATGGGCTTCTGGGCTTTACTTAAATATTCTTAGTAATGTAAAGTCTCACGTGCGCAAAGGCATGTGTATGTGTGTGTAATTAAGTGTTAATCAAAATGCTGCACACATAACAGTTTCAATTACATAGATAATCAGAAATTGGAAGCCAAAATTTGATGCTACTACTAGAATATAAAGATATAATTAGGGGAAAGAAATGGGGTCCCCATTTTCCTTTGGTCAGGGCATAAAGGAACGACTTAAAAATATAAAAGACAAATAAGGAAAACAAAGACACAATAAATTAGCAAAAACAATAAATCTAAAACTTTGGTATTTACTTATATAACACAGTTCTAAAAGTTTATTCAAATGCAAATCAGAACTGAAATGGAAAGGAAGAAAAGCTGTATGGCAACTCAGAAACAAAGTCTCCCTCCGACACCTCCCTCACCCCAACACAAGAAAGGGCCCCAGCAGGAAGCACGAAGCAAGGCTCTCACAGAACCTCCATCTGGCAGCCAGGTCTAGTGAAGTCAATTCTGAGAATTCTCTAAGTTCCCACTTTCTATCTGATGACAGAACTTTATAAAAACCATTCTCTCAAGTCGAGGTGGTAACGCACACCTGAAGTGCTACTCGCTACACAAAAGCCTGTGAGTTCACGGTCAGTCTAGTCTACAAGGCAAACCCTGCCTCCAAAACGAAACACTATTCTCTCCACACCACCTCTTCTCCACACCAGTGTTCTACATTGTGATACCAATGCACGAGATAATAAATTGGTCTCACAACTATCCCTGAAATTAAAAAAGGCCTCTTCTCACACACCAGCACCACTGGGACAACCATGATCCTTACATTAAGCACAACAATACTCAACTTCCCCTATGGGAGTTTCAAGTGTTCGTAACAAGGCATCTGCAGCATCATTTAGAAGACACGCTAGAGGCAAACGTTCTACATCAGCATTGCAGGCCCACAGCTCAAAGCGTGTGGAGCTCTTCTCATGGTGATGTCTTCAAAGACTGTGGTGCATGTTATTCAACTATATGTCACAATAAGACACTCTGTGAAGCTATGGAATACTTGACAGTAAGTGACTAGACAGCTTGTGGCATACAGAAATGAAAAGAGTTGACAGATTTTACATGCAGGGCATTTTTCTAGCCACTGGACTGAGAGCCTTTGTGAAAATATGAACCTTAGAAATAATACCTGCATAGTCCTCATGCTTTCAATTTCTGGTATTGAATCAGTTTTCATTACAGCAGCTACTCTGGCTTCTAAAGTACTATTGCTATAACTTTTATAGTGCCAGCAACTGAATCCAAGGCCTCATGTGTGCTCGTGCTGAGTACTCCAGTACTGACCTACACCTGTAGGCCATCAAGGTATATTTAACATTTGCCATATGCCAAGCACAGTGGATTCTTAAAGTGTGCTACAGGATCCTTTCTTTCTTTCATGTAAGCTTGCTGTACCACCAGACACTGTCTACAATCCTCAGGACTCCCCATCTAAGCTCATTCTCTTCAGGTGCAAATACCAAACCACTGCTCCTTTAGAACACAGCTGATCTCTAGGAGACTCTATCATAGTTTATCACCAGCCAATACAAACCATCCTGTAATATGCTTCTGTCAGAAACAGCACAGTGCCTAGGATCTATCTTGAACACCAATAAATAAATAAATAAATAAATAAATAAATAAACAAACAAACAAATCAATCAATCAAGAAAGACAACAGTACTAAGTCAACTATGACAGGGATGTCACATTTACTTACAGTGCTGCAGGTGTCACTTTTTGTTCACTGTGTTTTGGGACACACACACACACACACACACACACACACACACACACATATATGGCAAATCAAATGTTTCAAGTCCAGCTGGGCTGCTATGGGAGACCCTGTATCAGAAACCAAATTAAAAAAGGTTTTGGGGCTTGGATGCAGTTCAGCCGATAGAATATTTGCCTAACAAGCACAAAATCTGGGTTCCCAGTATAAAACCAGACATGGTGGCTCTCGTCCCAGTACTTGAGAGGTAAGGTAATGCTCAAGGCCAATTTGTGCTACTTGAGACTCTCTAAGCAAAACAAACAAGACTTCAAATGTACTTCAAGTATTAATGTAGGAGTTACAAATACACTAGCAAGTAGCTGAATCAGCAAGTACATCGGCTATAACTCGTAGCTACTCTGGGCCAGACATGGCAACACAACTTCCAACTCCACTGCCAGTAAAAGATGGTTCTGAAACACCTGGATGCGAACCTGGATGCTAGCAGGTCCCCATACAGACGGAAGGGTTTTAGACACAGTGCCTCAAAACAGTGGCCGAAGCTTTTAAGAAGTGGTACTTTTCACGTTATTACTTCCTACCTGATATATTCTAAAAGGGATATAACGAAATCCGTTTTCTTCTGGAGGATATTCCATGAGTTTCCGGTTGATGGCCCAAAACTGGTCAAATCTGTCTGAAATGACATAAATTCTATTATTAAGAATGAACATCATAACAGACTAACTCATTAAAAAAAAAAAAAAAAGACTGAGAGTCTTAAACACTTAGAAGTTTCTGAAAAGCGTTAAGGGATTGTTTACAAATTATTTATTTTTCTTAACATCAACATAAAGCAAGATATACAAGTTATCTTTCTACAACCTTTTTTCTCCCGAGGGACACCCTCAGGGTATGTGACTTCTTACGGTATTGAGGCAAAGACCAGCAGTAGAGACAGACTGACTCTTGGTGTAACTTCTGCTGCTAAGCTCTAAGAACAAACCTGTATGATTTAAATATTAGCCTGCACCTACACAGAGAAAACGACAGCACAGAGGAGCCTCGGAGAGAGCTGTGGAAGCTGGTGCTGGGGCAGAGTCTGTGCAGCACTCACCTCGACAGCACAAGAACCCGCCTTCAGTCTCCTAGAACCTACGGAAAAACGCCAGGCAGAGAGGTGACTACCTGCTTGTCATCCCAGCGTTGGAGAGGAAAAGAATCCCTGACCAGGCACCTAGCCTAAAGGCTAAAGGCAATGAAGGACTTTGTCTCAAGGTAAGGCAGAGGCTTTCCTGAGACACTCAGGGGTATCCTTTGGTCTCCATATGCACTTACACATACACAGAGAGAGAGGAGGAAGGGGGAAGGGAAAGAAGAGGAGAGGAAAAAGGGAAGGAAGGGAGAGAAAGAGAGAGAAATACTGACTGAGTAGGAATGTAACCCGCTGGCAAAGTTGGCTTGCCTAATGTGTACAGAGCCCTGATCAATTCACAGCACATGGGGGGGGGGGGTAGGAAATAAAATAGAGAATGTGCAGGTGTGAACTGCCAATTGCAGCTTAATTTCATATTGGTTTAATCTTTCAGACTGAACTAAAACTTTACTAAGTTATAATTTGCAAATCATAAAACTACACTCTAACTCTTTTCTAAATACATTCAGAGGTCAAAACATTTATTGTAAATGCAACTATACAGTGTATGCTTTTTATATTTGTTGCGTATATGTATACACACACAGGCACAGTATGAAGTTTTCAAAGTTTCTTCTTGTAGCACGTACTCTTGAAAGTTTCACTTATTTATTTTTATGATCCAATCTTACAGAGTTATAAGATTTTTGCCAATTTACAGATATTTGAGTAATTTCTACTTTTGGCTATCATAAATCACGTCACACATTTTGTATGAATATGTTCTCAAGTCTCACGGTGGATCTAAGAGTGAAATCTCTGTGTCTTACAGCAAAGCCATTTAACTGTTACATGGCAAATGTTTTGAGGAACTGCCAAACTGTTTTCCAAAGTGACTGAATCATTTTCCGTTCCCACCAGTAATGTCAAAAAGTTGTAACCTATGTTTGCCACTGCCAGCACTATTCATTTGTTTGTTTTTTCAGACAGAATCTCACTATACAGCCTTAGCTGGCCTCAAACTCATTCACAGACGAGGCTGACCTCAAACTCATAGAGATCCATCTGTCTTTGCCTCCCAAGTTCTGGGATTAAAGGTGTGTGCCACTACACTGGACATTTTTGTCTTTTTTATATAGTCATCTTAGTTGGTATGACTAGTTTTGTCTTAGGCAGTAGCTCAATGTGGCTTTTATTTGCATTTCTCTAATAACTAAGTACCTATTCAAGTGCTTGCTGGCCATCTATGTATCTGGAGACCTCTCTGGAGAAACATTAATTTGTTTTAATTTATTATTGTGTATGATGTGGGTGTGAGCACAGGCACACAAGCCAAACTGCACATGTCTGAAGACAACTTTTGGGAATAGATTCATTCTCTCCTTCTACCATGGCTTCCATGGATCAAACTCAGGCATGATGGCACACTTCCATAATCAGAACACATGAGAAGTGGAAGCAGGATAATCAAGAGTTTAAGACCAGCTTTGGCTATGTAGTGTGTTTGAGGGCATCCTACGCTATCTGCGACCCTGTCACAAAACAAACAAAAAGCCCCTCAGCAGGGTTGGGTGTGGAGTCACATACCTGTGACCCCAACACCTGGGAGGCAAAGGCATGAGAATCATTACAGGTATGTGGCCACCCTGATCTATAGAGCAAGGTCAGGGCCAGCCAGAATACCAAGATCCCATCTCAAGACATGAAAAGCAAATCCCCATAGCAAAACAGGAGGGGGAGAGGGGAGCACACACAACCAGAAAATAGGCTAATTCTCAACTAGGGAAGATTTAAGACTGCAGGGGAAATTGGGTTGTTGTCTGGAGACATTATTGGTTGTCAAAACTTGTCTGTGTGCCTAGCAATTAGTGGATGAAAGCCAGGAAAACGGGCACACACTATAATACATACGACAGCTCTGCCAAACAACTAGGTTGACTCAAAATGCCAATGGAAGGAAAACAGTCACAAAGTACTGAAGGTGAGGAGTAACAAGTTTTTGGAAAAACCTCCAAGGCATAAAGTATGCAAACTAAGAGAAAGGAGCACCATCCAAGCTCGATTCCAACTCACCCTTCAGCATGCACTACAATACATGCTTAAATCCTATCTAAGTCTTTACAATGCCAACCACTTAACAGATTTCGCAGCAGCGTGCTAAGACTGCAAAGCAAAAGGCTCTCCTGTATTTGCCAATGGCTGTGAGATGGGTCAGTGTCATTGGGGTAAGGACATCACAGCTGTACATTCTTCTCAGGAACAGGGAAGTCAACATATAGAATGCTTCCTGTTTGCAAACACAGTGGAGGTCTCAAAGGGCCTTTGGCTCCCTTCTGGCTTCCACGTGTCTTGTCACATACTGTTAATCAGCTACACTCCACACTATCCTGGCTCCATGTGGATTATAGACCCACCCAGGCCTGGGCAAACGAATGAGCTTCTCGAATTCGGGGTGTTAACCAGACTTCCCAACTAAGGTTGAATTGCAGCCTTGGAAAAGAGCCCACACAAGCTCTTCCTCTCCCAGGCGTAAGTAGCATATACAGTTTTCTCATAATAACTCTCTATAAGACTTTTAAAAAATTTGCCCATTCAATCCACTATGTGGTTTCTGTTTCCTGAGTAGGGGCTGGTGAGATGGCTTAGGGAGAAAAGGTACTTGTCACCCAGACTGGCAACCTGAGTTTGATCCTAGACCCACACTGGAGAAAATCAACTCCTTCAGGTTGTTGTCTACCTTCTAACACACACACAAATAAATGTAGTAAAAAATTCAAGCCACAAAGAATCTGTGTTTGTTATTTTTAAACAGTCTTATAAAATATGTATTTTCTAAGCAGTACTAAAAAGTGCTCTGACCAAGAAGAGACTTGTGTGTGTGTGTGCGCGCGCGCGTGCGCCTCCAAGGTGCTAGGATTACAGATGTGTGCCACCACATCCAGCTAGAGTAAATTTTGTAGATTAAAAGCTAGAACAACAGTGCTAAGAGACGATGTAACCAGGTGTCTTTATACCTGGATTTTATAATAATGCTTCTTATTATAAAAATTAAAATAAAACTTAAAAAAAACAACCCAATGCTTATCTGGAACATATCAACTCGTGAGCCCTGCATGGTGGTTACTTTATGCCTGTAATTCCAGCCAGTAGACAGCTGAATGTGCTGTGTGACACATGGGACACGTGTTCTGGTGTGCACGTCCATGTGCAAATGCTGACACCAAAGGAGGGAGCATTTGCACTGGGAGTCCTATTCTACACCTCCCCTTATTCTATTAGGACAGGATCTCTCCCTGAACTTAGAGGTACTCTGTTGGCCAGTAAGCCCTGGCAAGCCTGGCTCCTCATCCCCTCTTTCCATCCCCGGCACTGGGGTTACAGGTGTGCCAGCTTTTTAAATGTGGGCTCTTAGGATTCAAACTCAAATCCTGGTGCTTGCATAAGCAAGTGCTCCTCCCCACTGAGCCATCTCCCCAGGCCCAAGCATGGTGTTCTTAAAACTGTGCTCCAATCTCTGCTACAAAGTGGAGACGGTAAAAGCACATATTCATGACGGTACTGAAAAAAAAATTAGTGAGTGGATTCCCAGTGCTACATCATCTTTACTATCACCATCATGTTTTTGGGTGGCTTCTAGATTACCCACAGCTAAGGAAGTGTAGGGAACCTTGCGTACAAGGAATTCTGTCCAAACACTATCTTTGCAGGCTTGCCTGGAGTGTTCACCATGCTCTGGGACATGCTGCTTGCCAAAATTCTGCAAGTCAGCAGCTTTTGTTGACTAGCCACCGTGAGGAGAAGAGGAGCCTTACAACCTGCTTCGATGTTTTACTGCCCTTTCGGTACCATTCTGCTTCCTCCAAACTAATCAGCCACCACAGGTTCCCTTTTCACTCAAGGGGCACAATTTAGCTGCAATTTACTTTTTATCAATTTCAACTCCATTTACCTTGAGTTCTAGCAAGAAACAGTAGCACAAGACAAGTGTTCAAAGGCCAAGCATATGGAAGGCAGTTCTCATTAGAACTATCATGACTGTCTCAAAACTTAGTATTTATTTATCTATTAGGTCATTTATCTATGTTTTTTTAAAACTGGGTTTCTGTGACTCAAACGTCTTAGAACTCACTATGTAGACCAGGATGGCCTTGAAGTTACAGCAATCCACCTGCCTCTGCCTCTCTGAGGTGCTGGGATTAAAGGTGTGTACCACCATGACTGTATGTTTGTGGGTATATATGAAGATATGTGCATGAGTGCTGGGATTAAAGGCATGCTCCACCATGCCTAGCCAAATACACACACACACACACACACACACACACACA